ATAAAAAATTTTTTTTTTTTTTGAGACAGGGTCTCACTCTGTTACCCAGGCTCGAGTGCAATGGTGTCAGCTTACTGCAACCTTAAATTCCTGGGCTCAAGCAAGTCTCCTGAGTAGCTGAGACTACAGACATATGACCCTATACATGGCTAATTTTTTTTTTTTTTTAATTTTTTGTGGAGACAGGGATCTTGCTATGTTGATCAGGATGGTCTCGAACTCCTGGCCTCAAGTGATCCTCCTGCCTCGGCCTCCCAAAATGCTAGGGCTACAGGCATGAGCCACCACACCTGTCCGGAAGATTTTATGTTTTTATATCTCATATAGAAAGCTCAGAAAGGAGAAGCACAGGTTTAAATAACATTACCTAGACCTAGAAAGTACCCATTCTGGCTTTGGAGCCAGAGAATTCTGGTCTCCAATCACTGGTCTGTACACTGGGCAATAGCTTCAGTAACCTCATCCACAAAATGGGGCAATAACAGCCAGCTTTCAAGGTTAATGTCAGCATTATGTTAATTATATATGAGACATTTGGATACTCAATAAAGACACATTAGGGATGCACATTTCTATTCTTAGCCCAGAGAATAAAGATTAACAAACATACACAAAGTAAATGGAAAGTGCTAACATGCAATCCAAAGCACTTAACATATTTCAAAGAGAAATTTATTCTCTAGAAGGAGCTGGTTAACTAAAATATACCTTATTTTCAAAACTAATTACTTAATACTAAATAAGTTGCAACATATATATATTTTAGGCAAATTACATTACATGGTACTTTCAGTTTTATTTTTAGCAGATAAGAGTTGAAAATAGGTGATTTAAAATTACTATTATTACACATTCTTTGTGCTATATACAACTTTGTAATTAATATTTGACAACGGTCTTGGTGTTTTTGTTTTTTTTTTTTTTGAGACAGAGTCTCACTCTTTTTGCCCAGGCTAGAGTGAGTGCTGTGGCGTCAGCCTAGCTCACAGCAACCTCAACCTCCTGAGCTCAAGCGATCCTTCTGTCTCAGCCTCCCGAGTAGCTGGGACTACAGGCATGCGCCACCATGCCCGGCTGATTTTTTCTATATATTTTTAGTTGTCCGATTAATTTCTTTGTATTTTTAGTAGAGACGGGGTCT